TACGTGTAGTCTAGTTTCTAGACACTTCAGAAAGTCTCTATATCTCAAATATTTTATGACGTGTTTTATATTAGCGTAATTTGCCTTTTAGCTAACATTTAAATTACAGGAATTAAAAAGGCAGCCTATAATACAATTTTGTTTAATATTTATTATTAAAAGGGCTTCTTTTCCATCATATTTTCCTTCTTTGAAGTATTTTGAACTTTCTACTTAACATTAAATCTTAGATCAAGTGTTTACGTAATTAAGAGATTCCATTGACGTAACAATATGTTATTTTATTGTGAAATAAGGCACTTTTTGGCTTCATTAAAATTTGAATTAAATATTCTTTTTTTTATACATACACAAGTCGCGCAGATAACCCCCGTGTAGCTTTGCGTGAAATTCAAAACAAAACGAACTGTACACGAGTCTGTACACAAGAAGTTAAAAAAGCTGGCACATGACAGAAGAAATGCTACAATAAAACAGTGAAGGAACAGAAGTATCATTGTTCAGTCTGAGTCTGGTCAAAACACAGAAGTACGTAAAAGACTCCTAAAATGTAGTTAAGTGAGTGGTAGCTCAGGCTATCATCCTTATATCAAATAATTAACGTAAATTCTCTTGCTTCATCAATGGACCTGGTGTACAGAGAAACAAAGATGAAAACTAACAAAATAATGAGTAAGTATAAACTGAGCCAAGAGGAAATGTGTAAGAATAAAATATCCAGAATAAACACCTGCCCCCTTCCAAGTAACTCAGCGGTATGTATGTGGACTTACAACAGTAGAAACCGGGTTTGTGTAGTTTAGCGCTTAACTACAAACAAGTAAATACATAGCCACGTTAAATAAAAAATACATAAACTGAGACATATTGTCCTTAAAATATTTCAACTTTATATATTTTATAATTCTATATATGTGAAGTTTTCACATTAAAGATAACAAATTCAGTTTTCATTCTTCAGGTTTTCTTGGATTATTATATTTTCATAGGTTGATTTGTTGTGAGTAGTTTCTTAAAATAATTATGTTGTCTTCATTTGATTTGATAATAATAATATTGCAAGGTGTTCTGTTGTTGGACAACTTCAATTCGATTACTTAATAACAATAATGTGAAGTCCTGTCCAGGTAAGATAATAAATTAGTTTATTTCTTTCATAACGCTTCTACATGCCACCTTCACTTTGACTCAAGTTGTGGTTCTAAGTTAACTAATAACATTTCAATGGAACTTTCTCGCCTGTGATATTTTGACTAAATTAGAAATAAAGTTGTACTCACAAAAGGTATTCGCTAATCGCTAATCTATTGATCAACTCAAAAGAAGTGATAACTTTAAACCTAATGAAAACAACACTCTTCCATATAAGTTATATGAAGTTTATATTTGTGTTTCAACAAAGTGCATCTGAATCTTTTGTTTTTGTTGTTGTAGTTTATAAAGATCAATTAATTGTACTGTATATCCATGATCAAATTTTTATTTTTCCATTTATAGGTTAACCTGAAGCTGAAAATTAAAATTAAACTTAAGTCCAACAAACTTTAAAATAACTCCATGTAAAAAAAAGTTGACCCTCCATTATTTTTAAGAACGATTAAGCCACATAGACGACTCAACCCTATAACAAAGAAGTACATTCGACATAATGAAAATAACCTTTTAACTAACGTCTGTCAACTCACACATACCTTAAGGACTCTAAATATTCTTGTGGATATTGCAGGATATCCACTCTAATGGCGGGACCTTACATTACATCCACAGAGAGCTGAACTTCAAAACAAAACGTTTTTATGTCAAACAAATAACCTTTCGAGTTTTAACTTATGTAAAGTAAGTAGTCTTCCCAGTCACTACAACAAGGATTAATAAACTTGGCGAGTGCATGCTCAACAGTCTCTATTAACTGCTATGCTTAACCATAATACTGAGGGTGATAAAGAAAAGTATACATCTTCCCCACACACAACACTTTACACAACTCAGGGAACACGTGGCTGTGAAATTAGCTTACTGATCCATATAGATTTCTTCAAGTGTTCCAAACTGGAATATGCAATGATCAATACATCAATTATAAATTATGCTTATTGACCAATGTATAAGCTTTGGACAAATTCACAAAGTAATTGATAGCTAAAGATATTTGACAAAAAATAGGAATATTATCTGAAGGGGAAGCCAATAATACTTTGCTGGAGTTAATCTGTTTAAACAAGAGTTTTCTCTAGGTAGCACACACCATACATTTGTCATGCTATTACTCAACAATCCATTGGATCAAGACAATATATTGACATTTCTATAATGATGCTGCTAGAATGCTATTATTCAACATGCAATCAGGCCTTTTCAATCTTTAAAGCTTATCAACCACTTCAGTTATTCCTTATCTTCTCAAATGATGAACTTTGTTGCATACAAATAGTGTCAATAATGTTTCATGGAGGCTACAACTAGCAGCAGTTCTTTCTATTGTGTATAATATCTACATTCAGGAACTTTGAGCATACAACTAGCACATGTGGATACACATTCTACTTTATAATGCAGCAGTGATAATACTGCTCTAATACCATGTCATTGGTGTCAGTATTTAACAAGAATTCAAAGTACAGTCATGGACACACCAACACTAGGGCTTCT